TATATCTAAATTTAATTATAAATAAGTCTATATAAAATTTTATAATTTAATTAAAAATAAATATTTTTAAGAAAAAAATGAATGAAAAAAGAAAAAAATTTATAAGAATACTATTTAATTCTTTCATAGAAAAAATAGATAAACAATAAGAGAGAGAAAAAGAAAAATAGAAACTAATATAATCAACAGAAAAAAATTTAATCATAACTCTAATATTCGTAGAAGAGAAAAAGAAAGAAATGTTGAAAACAAATACTTATTATTATGTGAAAGTCTCTCAAAATCTTATGATTAATGAGAAACAAATTTTGAGATTTTAAAAATTTCAATTGAATACACTCCCTCTTAAATTAAAATTTAGCTCTTATTTGGTTGAGATTAAAATTAATTTTTTAAATAAATTGTAATAAAAATTAATAAAATGTACGATTGATAGGTGGTGAGTTACATAAAATATGTCGATAAAATTTATTATTAACTTTGAGTTAAACTAAAATTTTGTATCAAACGCGACTATGTTTGGTACCAATTTTCATTTTCAACAGTAAATCATTTCTCATTTTTAACCATACATTCTTCAATAAAATAATATTTTCTATCACATCAATAATTTTATCTTCTTTTTCAACCACACATTTCTCATCATATCACTATTCAAAATCAATTCCCCCCCCCCCCCCCCCCTCCCACCCAACCAAAAAAATCACTCCCAAACAAGCACTTAATGTAACTAATGCTTAAGACAAATAAATTTTTTTTTAAATATTTACGCTATCATATAACCGACTATACTATGACATGTGCATTGCACGTGCATCTTAGTAGTAATATTAAAAGAAAGAATGAAACTGTGAGAAAAGCTCTCGTCTATATAGTTATAGTGGAGATGACAACAGAGCGGGGATGAATCATGATGACAATATTAGTCCCTGCTAAGAAATTATACTCAATAATCTTGCCAGAATCATCGCACAAGACCGAGAAATAAATGCCTAGAACCCCATTTTTGTGATTTTTTTTCTGGATTGAACATAACATGGCAGCTAGACTGGCTTGCATGATAAGCATGTATTTGATAAATTTATTAATTTTCTCCTTTTATTTATATTAGAAATGAAACGATTAGGCGAAAAATCTCTTCACCTAAATCATTCAAGGTTGGGATTTGGTTTGGCGGGATTTTTGTCATCCCTAAGTGAGAGTCACCATTTGCGAGTACGAAATTTGCATGGTAAGAAAATAAATTCTTGACAATTCAATTATCTAAAACCTATTCGTATGAAAATTATTAATTATAAGTGTTTGATTGTTTTAATTTTCAACCTACAAAATATTATACTTGTTCATTTTTTATTGATTGGTAGATGAGAGAGAGATGATACACGAGAGAAATAAAGAGAGAATGAATTACTTAGAAAATAAAATCACTATTCCCTAAAGAACACTTGTTTCCTTAGTTTTGAGAAAAATATGATCACATGACCAAAAGTTGAAAAAAAATTTAATGAAAAAAATTGTAAATCAAACATCCAAAAGCAAGCTTAGGCATGGTTCGGGTTGGGGTGGTTTCGAGTCAAATACGAAATCGAAATCGGCTTGATCGGTTTACCAAACCAAACCAAATTTGGTTTGATTAATCAGTTTGGACATTGGTAGGAGTTAAAAAAAGTTGCCTAACTATTTTGGGATAAAAAAATTGCTTTACTATACATATATATTATTTTGCTTGCATAGTGCATCTCAATAATATGATTAATAGCAGAAAAACCCTACAAACGTTTCTATTTGAGATATACCCCCTACCTAATGGAAATCGTAGAAAACCCTCTTATTTAAAACCTTTTGTGCGCAAATCCTCATATCGTCAAATTTGTCGTTAAAAACAGTAAAAATCCAAAATTAATAATTAATAATAGCAATTTTTGTATCCAAACTTTTTATTAGTTTACAAATTATACTCAATTTTTTTATGTACCACCCACAATCTCAAACATTTAATACTTTTTTCTCCACCTAACCCTACTTTATCTTCTTCACGTCTATTATTTTATTTAAGGACCGTGTTGCTCTACCAGATCGGTACAAGATCTGGTAGAGCCAACGAGTCATGAGGGGGTGGGTGATAAAACATTGGTGGGGAGGGGGGGTTTAATAAGGTGAGTCCTGAGGACCCACCTCATGTGAGGAAACCACTCTACGAGGCCTTTTACAGGCCTGGTAGAATAGTTTAATCCTTTATTTAATCCCTTCCAAAACCCTCCTAAATTTCCCACTCCTAAACCTTCAAAACTTTCTGCTATACTCTTATGAGGATTTGGAGAACGGCAAATTGTAATATCACTCAATCCAGTAACTAAGTAGGAATAAATGCATGCCAACACTCTTCCTACTACAAAATTTTTTGTATCTTCCAAAGAAATTTTCTCTCGGAATACAAAATTTATGGATAAGAACTTGTCAGGTGAACCAAAAAAGTCGAAAGAAATTTTAACATTGTCCATGGAAGGTTCAGACATACAACGAGAATGCATCTGAAAAGGAAAAAAAAAAAAAAAATCAAATCCTGCACTTCATAAAGCAAAAAAGAATCCAATCCACAGCATTATAATCCCAAAAATAATGACAACAATCAAATAGTATATAAGAATTCCAAAGCAAAAATTAAATCTTTCATTGCATAGAACACTAAAAACTCATCTCCAATTTATACTAAAACAGTGAAACAATCATCATGCTTGACGTGATCAAAAAGAGAAAAAAATGACAATTATTAGAGTATGAGGGTTTTAAGGTTGGGAATGGGAAGAAGAAATGAGCAATTTGGGGTGAGAGATTTAGGAGAGTTTTGGAAAGGATAGAATAAAATAATAAAGTTTTGAGGAAGAAGATGAAGTGAAGTAGGGTGAAAAATAAAGTTTTAAAAGTTTATGATTATGGGTGGTACATAAAAAAATTGAATACAATTTGTAAAATAATAAAAAGTTTGGAAATTAAAATTAAAATTATTACTTTTTAATTCTGGCATTTTTACCGTCTTTAACGACAAATTTAGGGAAGCTTTCGTACAAATGGTTTCAAATATGAGGTTTTCTGCGATTTCCAATATGTAGGGGGTATATCGCAAATAGAGACGTTTTTAGAGATTTTCTACTATTAATCCTTAATAATATGTATAATGTAAATATTAAAGGGTCGATTTTCCCATAACATCTTATATGTCCAATAGTTATCACTTATGAGCTGTCAAGAGAAAGACAAAATGTTTAGGCTCTTTCATGCATCCTCTTTCCACTTAGTAACACAATTGATGGGGCATATACTTGAAGTTGACTATCATAATTCAAGTTGGGGGGTTTTTTAAAAGAAATTTTCCTTTCATAGACTTGGTCAAGCAAAACTATAAGATATTTTGAAATAGAAATTGATAAATTGTTTGAAATCTGTGGATAAGAGTTGAAAATTTAAGAAAATAGCAGTAGAGCTCGATCTTCAACCTTTAAAAATAAGAATTTACGTGTCCAGTTTTCAATTTGGTAGCATTTCAGTCCTCATTTTTCAATTTTACTCTTATATTTCCCTATTATCTTAAAAAAGACAATCCACCATCAACTGTTCATTTGTGAAGCTTTTTTATCCCTATCTCATCTATATCCATCATCCACTATCCATTCACAAAGCGTTAAAGCAAAAGGGTAATATGAACTTTCTCGTACCCACAATTGTTGCCTCTTTTTATGTCTCTGAGAATAAAAGAGAAAGAAAAAACGGAAGCAACCATTTACTATTGGTAGTTAATTCTAAGCTTAATTGCATTTCTACTTCTTCGAACACAAACTAAATCTATATAGAAAAATATATGTAAGGAAATTGATTCCTTGGATTTGAGTTTTCGGATTCCTCAGCAGCTGCAAAATTATTCCAACAACTGGAGCCTTTAACCACCTGTTTCAACTACCATTTGTGGTTGGAATCTTCAACCAATTGGAGCCTATGTTAGTTGGTTAGTTTGTAACTGATTAGATGCTCAATTGAGTCTATAAATAGGAGCCTTAGGTTCTGTAGAAAAGGAAATGAAAGAAAAAGAGAGTTTGAGAGTAGTAAAACTCTGTAGAATTCTGGAATTCAAGTTAGAGAAAAATGTAGATTTTTTCTTGTAGTAGGAAGTGTAGATTGTGAGAGTGAGAAGTCTCTGAAAATTCAATTTGGAAATTCTTTCTACGAATTCATGTAAATGAATGTAATCTTTGGTCAATAAAGATTGAGGAAGAAGAACTCTTCCTGTTGCCAATTCTTCTGTCTTCTTTACTGGTTTTTCTTGCTGGTTTTCTTCTGTCATTTAATCTGGTTTGCTAGTGCTATTTTCTTATTTGTAATTGGATTGATCTTGGGCTGTGGGGATAAATCCCCAACAATATAACTACAACTGGCTCGAACATATCAAATTACTCTCATAGTCCTCCAATTTTTCAGAATAAAAAATATTAGGAGGTATAAACATGAACCTGAGAAAGCGATGCGACAGCGAGCAATGTGCTGAGAGCATCCGCGTAGCATGCAGGTGGCACGGACACCCAATGTCCACGTTGCTCGAAGGCCAGTATCAACGCAACGTGGACACTAGTGGACACCCCATGTCACGCAGCTATACACAAGTTCCAACTCTCTGCGTGGTGTGTCACAAGGTGGATTCCAACTATAGACGAGGTAAAATATCTACTCTCTCAATCTACTTTTCCATTCACTTTTACCTATCTTCTATTCCAAGAAAGAAACCTTTCTCTTTCCCCTTTCCCTTTTTCTTTCCATTGAAGAGCATCTCTTGTTCCAAGACACTTCCTTTGTTTTTCTTCGAGCTTAGACGGTGGGATGGAGTTGCAATCGATAGGTCAAAGACTCAAATGTGGTGGAGAAGGGGTTGGAAGGAGTCAATGTAGTTAACCCCGAGAAGCCGATAGGCTTCTTCCAAATTATTTGCACAAAATCATCTTGAAAATTACGAATTGTAGCTTCATTTTAATGTTCTTCTGTACATCACATATATTATTAAATGGAATTTCTTTGACTATTGTCATCTCGAAGCTTTCTTCATGTTTCCAAAAGCAAGAGAGAATCGGTACTAAAATAGGTGACCGACGACCTCATGTGCGGACACTGTCTCCTCGTTGCGCGAAGATCAGATATTTTGTGTCTGCAAATGGGCAACATATTCAATATATAAGGAGAAAAGTGTCCATTGGAATCGATCCATATTTCGAAGCGGCAAACCATTTGCATAACAATAATAAACAAATAAATAAATTATGAAAAAATATCTAACAATTTTTCAGTTCAACTATGTAACATTGTTATTTTGTTTTGATGTTATTGAAAACTGAGACCATTCTNCCATTCTCTTTTTTCATTTCGACCACACAATCTATCAATAAAATAATATTACACATAAATTCAAAAATTCTTCTTATTTTTTAACAACACATTCTTTCCATCAATCACTATTCCAAAATTTATTCTTCTCCAAAATGGGTGTCAAACACACCCTAAAGTAATTTTATTGGTTTGTGTGTAGAATATTTTATTGGGTAAATGTGTGGTGGAGAATTTTATTGTAGCAAACAATGTTTTGGAATGATGAGAGACAAACGAGGCTTTGAAATTTTGGTTTTCTTCAATAAACACTTAGCCCATGTTTGAAAAATAATTTTTGGAATAGTGATTGATGGAAGATTGTGTGGTTAAAAAGTAAGGAGAATTTTTGGGTTTATGTGTAATATTATTTTATTAATAGAATGTGTGATTGAAATGAAAAAAGAGAAAAAAAATGAGAATGAGAATGAGAATGAGAAAAAAATGGGTTTCAAACGTAGTCATATATAATGTAAATAGTAAATGATCGATTTTCCCAAAACATCCTATGTATCTAATAGTTACCAACCAAAAAACAATACCAAAATTAAAAGCAAGGTTACAATCTAAATTTGAAGTTATATCAAACACTAATTCTTCTCACCTTCTTTTCTTTTGATTTTGAAGGAAAAAAGAAATATTTTTGTTTTAATTATTTTATTTTTTAGGTTCCAAAAGATGAATTTTAAATGAAAAAAAAAAAAAGTGTATTAGAGGGTTGGGTCCGTTAATTGACGGATTTGTTGCTTAAATCGAAACAAATCTGACCTGACTTTTTATTGGTTAAAATTAACTAAACCAAACAGATTTTTTGGTTCAAACCAATCTAAACCCTATTGAAAAGTATGAATTTGGGTGAAAAAAAAAATGATTTTTTTCATAAAAAATAAATTCAATCAACACTAAAATGGTAATGAAAGGTTAACAACTAACTGCCTTTGTATATGGCAAATCAAATGGCTAGTTACATTATAAAATGGATGGTAAATAAAATCAATCCTTAGCATTACACGCCTGAAGTCAAATCCGGCACATATGGCAGTGATAGTGCTAATAATTTAACAAGCCAAAATTTTGACCAAAGAAAGAATTTTCCCTTGTCTCCAAAAGAAAGAAACTACGGATTTTCAATCTAAAACTATGGAATTAATTTTCGCTACCTATGGAACCATTTGTCATCTATTTTTTTTTTTTAAATTATAGAAAATAACGACTGAATAGAAGTTTCGTTCAAAAGCCTTCCACTTTACTCTTGAAACCTATGCATTTCAACCTCCCGTCACGCGAAAAATCTGGAACAATAAATCATTTTCGATGTGATTCCTTATGCTTAAATATGGATAGAATTAAATTCTGCCGTATTTTACAATTTTATTATGTCTCTGTTTGATTGAGATTAAAATCAGATTTTTAGTAAATTTTGATAAAAGTTGATGAAATGTGTTATCGAAATGTTGTGAATTTTATGAAATACGTGATTAAAATTAAATATTGATTTAGATTTAGGTTAAAATTTGAATTTTAATCCGTACCAAACTGGAGCTAGGTATCAAATGCATTTTTCAGTAATTACATCATATACTAGTATTTATCCAATTTCGAGATCAATTCTTTTCCCACCCTTTAGTCCTCCGTATTCACTTGGAAGGCCGGCCCAATAAATTCAAACAAACGGATCCGGCCTGACCCGGATTGTGTTTACCTGCCATGTACAAGCTAACCGGGTATGGTCCATGACCCTAATTAGCTTAGCCAACTGCACTCTCTCTCTCTCACAGTTCTCTCATGGCGGTTGTATCTACACACTGTGCGCTACTCCATACCTACGCAGAATCCCAAAGCCATATTCCCAAAAGCCGCAGCAACAACAATCTCTGCAGCTCAAGAGTTTCAGTTCAATTCTCAAAGCCTAGTGGAAGATTTTCTCTTTATGCTCAAACCGCCAATGGAGATAACAATCAGCCTAACAATAGCACTGTTTCCATTTCAGATTCTCCGGGCGCCATTTCCACATCCTCCACTAGACCTACGTACGTAAGAATTTCTAAGAGGATATGGTGTTAGCAATTTTGAGGAGGAAATGCCAAATTGAAAGGCTCTTTTTTCCCATTATTGTTTCTTGATTGGTTCATAGATATGTTTAAGCTATGTATATCTTAACCATATCAAAGTAGGAGTTTTTCTACTAGCAAATTAATGACTAATTTTGAGGCAACGGTTGTATTTATATTAATGCGGTGATTAATGTTCAAATTGTTTTTTTTGTTTCACAGAAAATTATCAAAATGACTTGTTCTATTTGGATGTGATATTCGGCAGAACGAAAAAATGTAGCTTATATATAAATTAATGATCCGTAATTATTAAAATTGATATTCAAGCATGTATTAGGACTAAAATGATCTCTTAACCCGTTTCTTGCTTTTCTCTTTGGCATTTACATAAGTTTTATAGTTAATTTTCTTTACTTTGTGAAGAACCTATCTCTGGTAAAGTTTAATGTTCATGGAATCATGCTTATGCTTGCTTTTGCTCTTTTAACGATCTAAGATTACCCGATGCGTGTGTAGATATGCATATTCATACTTTTGAATCATTGTTGAGAACTATACATTCAGGTCATTATTCGAGGTACATGTAAATATTTCTATAACTAAGAGAGAAATAATAAAATAGTCTTTTTGATTTATTTGGTTAATCATAGCATATTTGTATGACCCCAGTGGAAGAAATGTTTGAAAAGTAGAGTTTGAGTTTTAACATGCATGTTGTATGGTGAAGCAGTGTCTAAAAAGGCCAAATCTCATAAAAAAAGACATTTTGCCTTCGCGAGACAAGTTTAGGTATTGCACTGCTGTTCCCTGTGAGCAGGAGGGGAATACTAGAGGAAAAATAAGACAGCCCCTTCATTTATAACTAAATATCCCGTTTTAACTATTTAAGAACCTAAAATAATTAGTCTTTCGAGTAATGTGATTTTCAACTTTCCTTTCAAATTACGAAATTTCACAATTGCAGTAATTGTACGCATTCTTATTGCTTCTGTAGTTTTAGCTTCTGAAACTCGACATAAATGCAAAATTACTCCTGATAAAAAGGTTTAGTTGATTTGAAAGGTCATTGCTATCTGAAATAGATAGCGAGTGGATGCGTGGCATAGTTACTTTAGAGAAAACACATGCAGAATCATTAGAAAAGGAACTGACTCCAAAACAAAATACTGAACCAAATAGTTATGCACTTTCATTTCAATAGGCGTATAAAGGATTTTAGTTGTTAAATAATAGTATGTTTGTCATGTAAATCCAGGGTGAAGCGCCACACAATTTCAGTATTTGTTGGTGATGAAAGTGGAATGATAAACCGTATTGCTGGAGTTTTTGCAAGAAGAGGATATAACATTGAGTCCCTTGCAGTTGGATTGAACAAGGACAGGGCTCTTTTTACAATAGTTGTGTCTGGAACTGAAAGAGTGCTGCAACAAGTTATGGAACAGCTCCAGAAACTTGTGAATGTACTAAAGGTTATGATCTTATTTTCGATCTTCGAGCATAATGTCACTTATAAAATGAGTTTCTTACAACTATACTCTGACTCCTAATGTGGAGTTACTTGTATGAAACCATTAAACCTTGGTTTTCATAACTATTAGAGATTTTATTGTTACTACTCTCATTTCTCTATCGTACCCAATATTTTTTAAATTCTGGCATAAAACGTGACTCCTTATAATTCTTTTCTGATTTTCTTTGTCGCATTTAGTGGGAAATGAATTCTATTTTTCATTTAATTGATCAGTTGGAATGATTGCTTCAATTGTAATTTGATTTCTAATGTGTGGACTTAGCTTCCAGGTTGAAGACCTCTCCAGGGAGCCACAAGTAGAACGGGAATTAATGCTCATAAAAATCAACGCAGATCCAAAGTATCGAGCTGAGGTATTTATTCTGGGTTCTTTACCATCGACTTACTTGTACTTTTATGTCATATGTCTTGCTTGTTGTCTAACATTAATTTAAGGAAATTAATATATGTGGAAGGTTCATGATGTCCCTATAGTTTCACTTAGACATTTCATTCTCTCTTTCGTTGGGGTAACATATTTTATCCTTTGAATGTATTCTCCAGGTCATGTGGTTGGTGGACATTTTTAGGGCAAAAATTGTGGACATCTCAGATCACTCGTTAACAATTGAGGTGATGCCTAGTTCTACTTGTTGCATTTTAATTTACATAATGCGCTAATACTAACAAGTGTAGATTGACTTTGAATAGTAAGTAATAACCCAGGAGTTGTAATCTTTCAAGACGTCTTTTTACGTTTTACAGGCTAATGCCTGTATATTTTTTTACTTTGGCCATTCTAAGGTGCACTCTCCATGTAGATCTGGTCATGTTCCATCTGAAGTGGGGATTTAATTCATTTTGAACTGCCTTGTAGGATCTGCTACAAAATATATTTCATTAGTTCATTCTCACCTGTGTAACTTTAACTTATTTCGCTCTATTGATTTATATGAAATAATTATGGGCTGGATGCTGGATGATAATATTCAAATCAATTCAAAAACCTTAGCCTATACTTATGTAGGTACATGAATTCTCTTTTCCTCTTTGGTCCGTTAAAATTACACTTCTCTGTACCTAGTCTTATTCTCTGCAATATTGATTGTTATCATTTAAGTACGCATTCTGTACAACTCCTATTTAAAAATGGCTTTCTAATCTCATTGAGTCTCATCTGCAAAAGACAATATCATCATCAAAGGCGATGTTCATACTTGCTTAAAGCACTAAAATCTTTTGGGACAAATTTGTTACTTTATCAACCCAAAATGGTCTGTTCATCCACTCTTCAAACTGAAGTCAGATGGTTTTAGTGGCTATGGCTGTCTATATTGGTCACATAGTAAGTCCTCTGGTTGAGCTGATTGCTCCGATTTTAGTTTGAGTTGTGAGTTGATCTTTTTTTCTTCTTCTTTTTCTTTTCATTTTTTTGGTGCCTAAACTAGCAAAAAATGACCACTAGGTTTTTTCTGGTGCACAATTAGGAAGATAATTTGGCTTTAAATATTAGGCTTTAAATTTGTTACTGCTGTATATTCTGCCTCGTACTAATGTTCCTTTTGGGTGCATCTGATACAGTATTCGTTTGTTGCATTTCTGGAGACAGGGAGATATTATTATAAATCAAATTTCATTTTTTTCGTCTTATATTGTTTGTGTAGGTAACAGGAGATCCTGGGAAGATGGTTGCAGTACAAAGGAATTTAAGTAAATTTGGAATCAGGGAGATTGCCAGGACCGGAAAAGTAGGTATCTTAGAGAATGTTGATAGTATATTTTTCTCCTTTCTTTTCCTACCCTTTTAAGTTGGATTTTTTGTTGGTTTAACATAGATTGCCTTGAGAAGGGAAAAGATGGGGGAATCTGCTCCTTTTTGGCGGTTCTCAGCAGCTTCGTATCCAGATCTTGAAGGAACTAGGCCACTTGATACAGTTCCAAGTTCTGTAAAGAGAACACCTGATGTAGTATCCAATACGTCTAATGGGGTATGCTGGTTTGTTAAACCTTGCATGAAGTATCACAAAACTTTTCCATTTTTACTATGTCATGCTTATCACATCTATTATAGACCGGTTTTTTCTCCAGCTGGAGTATGAGGTCCGACATAAGGATATAATTGCTGAGCACTGCATATATAGGATCAAGAAACTCAACTGGTTGCAAGGACCTTTCCACTTTAACTCCTAGTACATGAGCAAAATACTCCTGGTTAGATTGAATTTTAAGGAGTTCGACACAGAAACCCTATACTAACACACAAGGACTTCAATACTAAGTCCTATTCTTATGTGGTTTCTAAATAAAGAAAAGTTGATTTGCATGACTTGTATCATTTGTACATGATATTAAATTATGTATGGATCCACTGTCCACATAACTTAAATTTCTGAAAAGTTGCCCATACCCACTTCATCTGCACAGATATCAGTACAACAAAATAGCTTGTTGAAAATGTACATCCAATTTGCTAAACCTTTGGAAAATTTTAATTTGGACCAATTAGGATGATTATTGTTGGACTTGTTTTAGATTTTTGAAGTATATATATCCTATCAATGTAACATCCATAGTATGGGTTGGTGATATGAAGACTTTGAAGTTCTGTGGTATTCTCTGTGTCACAACCATGGGACAGGAACCTAAATTAAGCAGAAATTCTCATGTCATTAAATGTTCAAACGAATTTTTTGGTTCTCTAATGAATTTTTTCAACATCATAACTTATCAAGCTACAGTTCTGATTTGTGCATTTAATCGTCAATGCTTTTATGGTAGTTATTCTCATTAGTTGTGATATATTATTATATGTATAAGAAACTATGCCAGTAAAGGAAAGATACAAGTCCCTCCGACGGGAATCTATAGGTGATAGTGCACTATATAAAGGCTACGGTTTTACTATACTCCTTTTCTTTTGAATGATTAGCCTCTATTTTTCCCCCAGCTTCTTGATAACTCAGCCCCCCCACGTGAGTGCGCTTCCATGCATTCCCATTGTGTTTACTTCGTTTAACAAAAGTGAATATGGAGGGTGTTGCATGTTTTGTGAAGCACAATATTAGCTGAATGCTGATGCATTTATGTTGTATGAAGGGAGATGTTTATCCTGTGGAAACAGCTGATGACATTTCATTCAATCAAGTTCTTGATGCTCACTGGGGTGTTCTGAATGATGATGATGATGTAAGGAATTGTCGTTTCTTTCTGTTGTTAACATTAGTCTCATATTAGTATCTTTTATATTTTAATACACAAGCGCCCTTAACATGCTGACTTTATTTTGGAGGCTTTTGATATGCTGATTATACATATGTAATTATGAAATTTTACTGTTATGTTTAGATACTGCGAGTTTTACAGTGGTAATATTTTTTGTATAACTTGACTCTGATTGATTCTTACTTCAGTTCCTGAATTTGATGCTTGCAGACAAGTGGTCTTCGTTCTCACACTCTCTCAATGCTTGTTAATGATGTTCCCGGAGTTCTTAATCTTGTCACAGGGGTTTTTTCTCGAAGAGGATACAATATTCAGGTATCCACTGTCATTTTATTCCTTGCAGAAAGTGTGAAATAAATCTATTCCTTCTGATTTTGGTGCATTTTTGTCTTCATTTCTTATCATTAGAGTTTAGCCGTTGGTCATGCTGAAGTTGAGGGGATTTCTCGCATTACTACTGTTGTTCCTGGTACAGATGAATCAATTAGCAAGTTGGTGCAACAACTTAATAAACTGGTGGATCTTCATGAGGTGAGAGCATTTCATTATTTTGACCTTTGAATAGGAATATCGCACGATTCACATCCAGCATTGCACATTTGTTATTTAAGCATTGCCTTTCCCTCTAAATCGCAGAAATATCTTTTAAAACTTCTGTATATAGAATGTCACTGTAGTTGGATAAATGGTTGATGATTTTAGTGTGAAATAAAAATTCTGGCTGCTTTTTCTTGTTACAACCAGTTTTGCTTGCTGAAGTATTCTGTTTGTGTTACGCATTCCCAGGACTTACTCAATAAATTATGGGTCTTCATGCTCATACTTTGTCTGTCCCTGACTTTAACACTTTTAGTTTTTTCCCAGTGCCCAGCCTTTGTCTTGTGTGATAGTCCTCATTTCATTTCGACAAAAGAGTTCTATACTTCGAGTTCTGACAAACCTGTTTGACTGAACATGAAGATTTCTTAACCAGCATGGTTTGTTTCTGGTTTTCTTGAATTGAATGTGCTTCGAACAACTGCTCAACTTGTTAGCTTTGTCATTTTCAGGTTCGGGATCTTACACATTTGCCTTTCGCTGAGCGGGAATTGATGTTGATAAAAATTGCTGTGAATGCTACTGCTAGGCGCAATGTTCTTGATATTGCTAGTATTTTTAGAGCCAAAGCTGTTGATGTCTCTGATCACACTATAACTCTTGAGGTTGGTTATTTTTTATCTTCAAGTTTAATTGGTTGTTTTTTTGCCATTGTCATGAGTGAATTGTGTACACATATATGGCTTATACCAAATTTCCCTTCATACATTTCCTTGGTTTGGTACTATATAAAAGTATTTGAGGCCTTTTTGATCTTTATCCATTTGTTCTCAAACTCTTCCTCTTTATCCTCGAATCCTTTTATAAATATTTTTTACATATCAGTTTAACTTGAAGACGAAAATCTGGTATCCTGGTAGGATAAACTTTAAAATAACCTTCTTTTGTCTTGTCAGTCTTTCTTTCATTCTCTGCTCTTTAAAATTTTCGAAGTTTGCAATTGAATTGCAACATGTTTCACTCTTTTTTGTCTGGCTAAGTCCCCCTTTGATCCATTAAATCAAAACTCTTTTTTTGTCAAATTCATTTTCAACCACATTCACACAACAAAATATTTTGCACGTAAACCCAAAACTTTTTCCTATTTTTTTAATCACACATTCTCTAGAAAATCACTATTTCAAAACCCATTTCCCCATAAAAACTCCTTTTAATGGATGTCAAACAGGGGCTGAGTATTATTCCTATCAATTTTAGATACAATATGACTGACAATTTTAAATTGGTAAAAGGTCCAAATACTATTAGTTAACTTCGGATGTATTTGTGGTATAGGCTTCAGAAAACCACAAAAGCAGGAAAAAAAAAAAACGATTATTAATCCAAAAATACGACCTTATATTAGTCTTTTAATCCAACTTATTTGCCTCTCTTTGAACATAATTATGTTTTCGTAAGTCAATACAATTTAATGAACAGACTCGTATCTTGTAATTCATAAGGATAATCATTTTTTTTTTATAAGTATAAGGATAATCATTACATTGTCAAAATTAAAAACAATTCCTTTTCTTTGTTATGTTTGTTTTCCTGAACTGACTGTTTCCTACACCTGAAATGTCTTTTAAAAGAGTATTTATGTCAACTTTAATAGTTATAACAGATCAAGTGCCATTATCCATATGATGAGGAATAGTTAAAAGACATTGAATGGCATCTGAAATATTTCAATAAAGAGAGATTTTGAACGAACATAATAAACTTTGAAGTAGTGGAGTAAACTCAAAAAGCATTGTGTGTATATACATCTGAAATATATGCATAGTAAATAGAATGACTCAAAAAGCATGTTAACATGTTATTATCCTAATCATGAAACTTAGACAACTCCTTTCAAAAACATTGTGTATATATACTCTATTATGGAACCCTCTATATTTTCTTGACTTGGATTGTTACAACTAAAATATTTTATTATCTTCATAGTTCAATTGTCTGGACTTCTGATATAGGGGCATTAACAAAGTGTTCCAAAGGTAGGGTAATCTTGACGTAGGTTTGCCTCTGGAGTAGATCAACCTAAGCTAAATTATGTCTCTATCTTTCAGCTAACAACATGAATATTCGTAAAGGAGGAAGACAAATATATATTATAACTTTTTCCTGAATCAAATTATCGCTATTTTGATTATAATTGAAACTTTTAATTATTGACTGACAACAAGATAAAAAAATAATTCCTATATATGTCCTTGTTCCTCATTTCTTTCTGTTGTTGAATTTCCCTCGTGTACTTTTTCCAGCTTACTGGGGATCTGGACAAGATGGTTGCTTTGCAAAGGTTGTTGGAACCTTATGGCATTTGTGAGGTATGTGTATGATATTTGATATTTGGTTATGAATTGAAACTAGTCACGATCCTTGCTTCAAAATGTTTTTGTACTTCCACTGCATTATACTGACCTGCTGCAAGGCATTTAAATGGTCTTTGGTCCTAAAAATCAATAACTGTGTTATGTGCCTGTGATATTGATAAGATTCCCATCTCTGTTAAGATTTGACTTTTGCTAGAAAGACGTCTACGTGCAAGGAACAATTTGCTCTTCAATCTTCTTTCCACTGTGTAATGTTGGCTGGTTTGATTCCAATTATTCTGACTTTACTTCAATATTCATGCTTTTGTAATTGAGAGCATTTTGTTGTTTGTTCTTTTACTGCTTTCTTGTTATTACTTCATTTCTTTTCCAATTTAATAAATAATGTTGATGGATGTAATTTTACTGCGATGCTAACAATTTTCTCAATTTAACCTTGTCGAAAAGAACTTTAACACCCAGCAACTTAAAATAATTTCTCTTTGTTTGTGCAGGTGGCTCGAACTGGAAGAGTGGCACTGGTACGAGAGTCAGGTGTTGATTCAAGGTACCTCCGTGGGTATTCTTACCCATTGTAAATAGGGATTTCTTCAGTTCACAGCATAAGGAATGCTCGTTTTCTTTCTACAAGCTAGATGCACATTTCGTTTTACGCCTTTGAAAAACAAACTAGACGCACAGTTTAGTGCATGCCTTTGATTTGGGCAAATATCTGCGTGGCATGATGTTGCTAGAAGTCTTGTTTTCTGTTTCGTTCTTTGATAATTATAGTCCGAAACTGTTGCTAGAAGTCTTGTTTATTGAACATGATTGGACACTGAAGTGCACAAGAATTTGATTTTTTTTTTCCTCCAATACTAATCAGTACTATCCAATCAACCTTAGTATAACGATAATTCTAGATGGTGATGTTAAAGCAATGTAAAATTGTGTCAGCTTGCCTTGTTTGTCCTCACGAAACTACACGTACATACATTTGTCTATCAGAACTTCCATTTGTGGTTAACTCATGGATCCCGAGCAAAAGTAGGGGAAGCAATTACCATTCCCTTTTGCCTAGTTAGGCAGATCAGGCACAAGACGATCACCAACCTGCCACCACGAATTGCTGCAAATTTCCTTAGGTTCTCAATGTTCATTTGTAAATATTAATGAATTAAATGTGTTGGTGTCCGGCCTTAAACAGAGTCATGAACCCACTTCACAAAAGGTTAAAAATACTTGAATATGAGATCTCCCATATCCCTTGATGGCGGTTGGCCCACAGTACCATTTAGTCAGCTCGGCCACAAGGCCATCGTCATCAATAAAAATCGGGCAAAATTCATAAATAAGGTGTTTAGTTTATACAAATTCAAAAATCATGTTTATAGTTTGAAAATTCAAAAATCA